AGACCTTGAGCCATAATCCAAAGTGGGGGGGGGGTGCGGAGGAACGCTTCACACACGATGATGAATGCCGAGATGTGGAGGAAGGAATTTGGGGCTAGATCGTGAAAGTCTAGCCCGTAATAGAACATGAGCCGGACAAAAGGGTGGAGAGGAAACCCTAGTCCGCTGAGAAAGTGGGGGTTAAATACTACCCTCTCATTGGACTCCGGAGTGGGGATGATCTGCTTTTTGGCAGGAAGCCGGTGGGTGATTTCCGCGGCCAAGTACCCCGCTTCCCGGAGTTCCTTGATATTCTCCTCCATGATGGAGGAGGCCATCCACTTGCCCTGAGTGCCAGATCCGGACATGGCTGGAGTGTTTGCTGGGGACGGAAAGGATTGAAACTTGGGCGCTGGAGCTCGAGGGCAAGTGGGCTGAGGAGGAAGAAGGCGTGGGGTAAAAAGATGGATCCTTATCTTCTTATAAAGGCAGTGAATATCAAGCGTCCCCCCCACTAGCCTTAAAACTCGCCTATTCCCAAGGGGTCGTGCAAACGGCATGGTTGGATTACTCAAACACGTATTGATGAGAATCCCGCAATAAGGGGACACGATCTCTGCTTTTACAAGACGCGTCAATATGACCGCGTCTCAAAACACGAAGCGGGAGGCTAAAAATGGTTCGAAATAATAATAAGGCCAGAACATAACGTCTCGCCAAAAAAGCTGTCAGTAGACATGACTTATTTTGTTTAAGTATTTTGCCCTTGTGGTTCAGGGTTGTGACTGTTATACAGATTCGAACATAGTTCTTTTGACCAACTGCTTTGGAGTATTCAGAGGAGGAACCCGCCTTGCAATGCCGAAGACAATCTGCGCACCGGACACATCGTCATTGAAGCCTGGTTCAGGGGCTACTGAGGGAGTCTTGGATTAGGGGGTCCCCGGGCGTCCGGGCTATGTGATCTAGGCCGGACTGATGGGCTATGAAGATATAAGATAGAAGGCCTTCCCCCGTGTCCGGATGAGACTCTCCTTTGCGTGGATGGCAAGCTTAGCGATTGGATGTGAAGATTCCTTTCTCTGTAAACCGACTCAGTACAACCCTATGCCCCTCCGGTGTCTATATAAATCGGAGGGTTTAGTTCGTAGAGGCAATCATAATCATACAGGCTAGACATCTAGGGTTTAGCCATTATGATCTCGAGGTAGATCAACTCTTGTATCCCATATACTCATCAAAGTCAATCAAGCAGGAAGTAGGGTATTACCTCCATTAAGAGGGCCCGAACCTGGGTAAACATCATGTCCCCTGCCTCCTGTTACCTTCGATCCTCAGATGCACAGTTCGGGACCCCTACCCGAGATCGGTCGGTTTTGACACTGATAGATACCGATGCTTTTCGTGAATTTAGCACTAAATATGGACTTGACTCTGAGATAGTAACTTCTTTCTGTGAATCATTTGCTACTCATGTTGATCTCCCTAAAGATAAGTGGTTTAAATGTCATCCTCCCACTGGAGTAAAAGTAGTGGAACATATTAAAGTTGAAGAAGAAACTATTACTTATAATGGTGATCCTGTTATTCCTACTTCTTATATTGAGAAACCACCTTTCCCTATTAGAATAAAGAAACATGCTAAAGCTTCAACTATGGTTCGTGATGTCTGCTAGAACTACGTCGGTATTTCTCCAAAGAGGAAGGGATGATGCAGCACAACAATGATAGGTATTTCTCAGTGATGAGACCAAGGTTATCAAACCAGTAGGAGAACCAAGCTGGTCCAACGGTAGGCTGGTGGGTGTCCACACAAGGAGGTGGCATTCAGTATCCACCTGATGAACTTCCCCAATGGCAAGAACTTGAAAGGTGCCTTCTTTGGGAACTACAAACCACACACCAACCTCCAAGACGTCGTCAAGATGTATATGAGGAAGGAGCCGGAGCTGGAGAAGTTCATCACGCACGTTGGACCTTTCTAACAGGTCAAATTGTATTCATCATTCTAAAGAGGAGGGATTGCTACTTCACGAGGTTGGATGATTAGATTGAGCTTCTTTTGTCATGTCCCTTGCTACTTTTAGATTTGGTGCTTGAGAAACATAAGAAAAATGCTTATAAGATCTTCCCTCGGGTAATAATGTAATAGTTGTGAGACACCATGTGTTGAGCTCTTTTTTGTCACAAAGAACGAACATTGTTTTGTGTTGTCGTACAATTTGGTCTTTATTTTAAGTGTGTCTACAACACTTGCCAGCAGCCAGCAGTCTTTTGTTACTTTGTACATGAACGTTTTGCACAATAATGATCTGCACTTTCTCTGTTTTTCTTTTGCACATCAGCTTCTCTATTAATGTCGATGTTTTTTCTTTTTTTAACTGAATATCAGTGTCTCCATAGCACATTGCAAATCAGTTCTGATATTTTGTTATCTTCTTGTTTGCAGTTAGCCATTCTTTTACTCACCTGTCGTAAAAATAGTACTCCTTCCGTCCGAAAAAGCTTGTCCCTCAAATGAATGTATCTAGCACCAAGTTAACACTAGGTACATCCATTTGAAAGACTAGGTTGGGACAAGTTTTTTCAGACGGAGGGAGTAGATATTTCAAGTCCAATTTCTATGGGCAAAGTGGTGGTCGTAAAAAAAACATCATCTAGCGAGCCAAGTGGAGTGTCCACTGTAGGCCTAAAGGCCAAGAGGATCTTGACATGCATGATCTTGAGAGAAAAATACTAGCCTCCTGCAAATGGCATTTGGTCTATTATAATGAACATCTTATGCTACAAGTGCGCAAAAAATCACAATAATATGTATACTACAACTACTATAACTTTAGATAAAATAAAATTGTACATAATTACATATAGTTAACTTTCAAATAAAATACCTACACAACATTGCATCAATACCTAACATTCCGTATTAAAAAGACGGGTGCGGCAATGCGCGCCAACGATGATCTAGTACGGTATGCAAACTGAACCGGGAATAGTCCCGTCCGCTCATAATGCCATGCCCAGAAAAAGCAATGGTTTTTTCTATCTGTTTTTAATGGGTTTTTTTTTCATATGTTATGGGCTCGCTACGGCCCCTTGACCGGTGGCCCGCACAGCCCATCGGGGCAAGAGAAACGTCGCGCTTTGCTTGGGGCCGAGTGCGCGAAGGGCCGGCCCTTGATGAGCCGCCCTTTACCGTCAGCACCGCGCGCCTGGGTCCGTGTATAGTTTTTTTTCTAGGGGAGCCGTAATTCCGTGTACACTTTCTTTCTTCCCCGACGAAGACGAACACGACTCCGCTCCATCGCTAGCCCTCCAAAGTCCAAACCGCGTTCCCCCCGACCGATCGCCCGTCGACCCCACCACCACCGCCACCCCCGCGCCGGCGCCGATGGACTACGAATTCCGCAGCCGGTCGGGCTCCGGCTCGTACGGCGGAGCCGGCGGGGGCGGGGGCGGCTCGTCCCTCTACCCGCGCGTCGGCCAGCCCACCCACGGCGCCGCCGGCCCACCGCCGCAGCGGCCCGCGCCGTACCTCCACGCTACCGCAGCTCCCTCGTCCCCCGCTGCCCCGCCCCCCGCTCCCTCCTCGTCGTCGTCCTCCACATCGAGTAATCCCCTCTCCCTTCACTCTGTACTGCTTGGATGCCATACGGCCGATTGGTGCCCTGGTTGGTGGGCTGTTCGGTATCCGAGAACCCGGGTGCTCCGTGCTGTATCGAGTAGGGCTCGCTAGATCTTTCGTTCGATCGAACTGAGAGTGGTTTCGTGCGCGTTAGATCAGCGGATCTCTTAGTTGAGTTCTGATTTAAGAGCCCGTGAGTGGAAAGTGGAATTGAACAATATAGACCTGAAACTGAGGCAGTTTTACACGAGTTTGTTTGTTGGTCTTTTAACCCTATCATTTCTCTTGTAGCCAGCATGTGTGTGCGCTTAAACTTGTTTAGCTAGTAATTTCCCCCAATTTGGCCATTACATGTGTAACTTAACTTAGCTTGTCAGAGCATGCTTCCTCGCGAAGAAGGGGGTCATGCTGAAAATTGAAAAATATTGTGAGATTGGTTGGACTTTGAATTGGTATACAGAGAAGGGAGTGCCTGCTTGTATATATTTTACTGTTGCTACCATGCCAGACTAACAAACTGCCCAATATTGTGCCCTTCTGTACTGTTATTGAGAACAGTTCATGGTTACTAACGTAATTCATTGTTTCGCTGCAGTGGGCATACAAGTTGTTATAAAGCCAGAATATCGGATAACCCCTCCTGTAAGTTATATGATTTATTATACAATCACTACTTTCCTGTTCTCTTATGCAAGAGCTGTCAATCTACTTTGCTACCAAAAAAGTTGTATTAATGAGTAATGACTGAGTTCAGTTTTCATTCTCCAGTGTTAAGAGTGTTGCTCCAAAAAAATGCTGTTTCGTAGTTAAATGGGTGCCTTTAACTTCTGTGCATTGGCTGGACATCAACATACTACCATAAGTGTTTTGTTTTCTGTTGCCAGTTATTCTCCTTGGGATTGTGAGAAATAGTACTCCTTGGAGTAGTGAATAAATTGTGATGCATTCAAGCAAGACATTTTAGCTAATAACTAATTGTTCTAAATGTCTGTTTCTGTCCTCATTTAGTGCATGGGTATGTGCTAGAAATGTACAAACGAGTTATTGTTAGCAACTTAGCATCATACGGTCAGCGAGGAGACAGCTTTAGCTGTCAATTAGTGCGCTTGGTGATCTTAAGCACCGCTGATTAGTTTTAGTGGTTTATCCTTTTTATCCTAGGTTCTCTGTGCCATGTGGGTCTGGACCCACATATAATAGACAGCGAGGAGGTTTTGTTAAGTTTGCAGGGGCATGTCAGGTTCTCCTGATGGACCATTCCATCCTTAGCAGACTAACTGAAAAATAGATGGTGTAGCTTGTTCCATACTGATGATGGCATATCTAAACACTGGATGCAACATATGTCTGAATGGAAGTGTCTAAGGAGTAAGGAATACATGGAAATAGTCTTGTTATGGTTCACAGTAGAAGAACTCATCCTATTGCTGTTGTAACTATTTCAGACTTTGATCCTAAAATGTTGGTGTGATAGTTAATAGTATGGGTTGAAATGTATGAGAGCATGCTTCACCAGTTTTGTGGGTTCCCTGAAAACTCATCCTATTCTGTTCATTTTCTAGAGAAGCATCCCACCATTCTGCAAACGTGTATGCTTATGCAAGGCTGTGCTGCTTTTTATTTACCCTTCCCCTCACAGCGTTTGGATAATTAGCACCCTTTTAATTAGTGTTATGTTTTCAGCCTCAGTTGGCACCACAGATGGTAGAAGTTCCCCGCAGCACCTTTAACTTTGATTTTGAGTATGAAAGAAAGATTCTTGCGGAGGCAGAGAAGGAAAACCCCAACTGGGGGAAGTTTGTAATTGAAAGGCAGACGCCACCACCACCACAACAACAACAACAACAACAACCACAGCCGCCAAGAGGGCCAAGACACTCAACATCCACTACTTCTATGGTAAACAATATCTCTCACTTGCCCCATCCCTCTCTGCCAAAGCAGTAGTACATTAATATGGTGAAATCATGTATTGTAATTACAACAATCTTTGCAGTCTGGTCTAGCAACACCTATTATGTTGGTTCATTTTATACCCTTTTCTGTTAGACCCAACTTGAATCCACTTTCTCATGTACATAGTTGCTTTTTGCTTGGATTTTCTATTAGCTCAAACTCGATGCCACTTTTAACCTTAAGCAGGGGCAGAGACTCGCCTGGGGCTGCCATGGCCTATGACTGAAAATCCATTTAAATATACCTTCAAAATTGCAAGAAAATCATGAGGGTATACTGGTTAAGCTAGTTTAGCCTCAGGCCTATGTATGTGCTTGTTGTTCTATCCATTCTAAGTTCTAACTTGTTGAAATAGTTGTCTCTATGGCAGAAAAGGCTTGCCTACTTAGAGCATTGCAAGAAAATTATGTTGTTAAGCCCACACCCTTAAGTTATGTACTGAAGTCCGTGCTATCCGTTGACAGCTTGCTACCAAGGTTCTGCTACTTATATTAAAAATTAAATAAAAAGATTGGTTATACTCCCTCTGTTCCAAATTATTCTAAGTCCTAGCTTTGTCCTAAGTCAAACTTCTTTAAGTTTGACCAAGTTTATAAAATAATATATGAAAATCTATTACACGAAATAAGTTTCATTAGATTCATCATAAATATATTTTTGTAGTATATAAATTTGATGTTGCAGATATTAGCACATTTCTCTATAGTCTATTTTATGACTCCGCTCGAGGTTCCTCACCTCCTTTGCATCCCTAACTTAGCTGTGTCATTCCACATGATAAATGCATGCCAGATGTTTATAACAGTTGGGTATATTCATTAAAGTCTTTAGTGTAATAAAGTATCTCTGAATACTTGTTTTTCTTTCTGTTTTGTCCCTTTTTCAGGCTACCCCAGGAGATCCACTTGTGGAGAAGTATATGTCTATGGGGCTTGGACGTGAAGCTGTTTCATTTGCTGTGCTAAATTATGGAGATAACCCAACAAAGGCATGATCTTTCTCTTTTATCTTGTCCTTTAGCAATACTTTCTTTCATCATCGTCAATTACAAAAAACCAATGCTTTGCTGTATTATGTGACTGTATCGGTGAACCAATACTATCTTTCATTGTGGCCAATCACATAGGTACAAACAGCTGATGGCTGTTACATTTTACAGTTAACTAGACGATACCCTGCGTGTTGCGGCAGGAATTTATGCAATTAATTTGCAAGGAAACAAATACCAACTATATTATATACATGTGATAGCAAATAATGTACTTATGTGGAAGTGTCATGTATGCGTTATCAGCACATCAAATGGTGTTTCGACCATTAAGGGGAAAAAATCAAATTACCTAACAAAAGGTAACTTATAATAACTTAATGTTTCCTATTCATACCTGAGGTTAGGCTAAAAGGTTTCAATTTCGTAATATCATCTCAACCAGTTAGATGTTCACAGAAGATGTTACAATCTTGGCCACATTTCGATATCACACATTTACAGATTTCCTGAATTGCATAACAATAAAATGAGTGTTACATTTATCGATATTCTGTTCATGTATATGAAAAAAATGGCAGTCACTAAATGTTCTTTCTGAAGTACAATCAGAAACATCAAAATTGAATAACATAGACGTGACATGAAGCCCTCAAATGACAAAAAAAAAACTTAGCATACCAAGTATGTTCTCGCCCTCCAATTCAGTCTGCATGCTGCCAGAAATATTAGATGGATTCCATATGAAACAAAAAAAAATGCTATCAGTAACTTTTTGGGTAAAGAGGGTTCACACTTGAGACAAAAAATGGTAGTTTAGCTTTGCTGACAAAACAATGTGCAAATAATAGACCATTAGAGAAAAAAACAAAAATAATGCATCAAGATTAGATAATCAAATGGATGGGCCACTTTACCAGGTCTTTGATGTGTGAAGTAACCATCAAGAGCTAAGAGAGGCCTAGTCTGCAGAAAAATTGCAGAAAATCTAGGAAAGTAACATGGTGTTTCTAACTTTCTTCTAATGAAAAAAAAACATGCCAAATTCTTGGGTGTAAAAAAACATGTGATCATATTTCATCTCATTTTTACCCTCTTTCTGAGTTCGCACGAAAGAATTAAAATTCAATCCCTGCTTGACTGGATAAATCCACATATAAATCAATAAGGAATGTCACTACTTGTTGATTTAAATCTTCAGTACAAATGCCTATCGAAATAAAGAAAATGAAACCGTACCTTTTTAGGAAAAGGTAGGCTCAACCAATTCAGAATATATTTCCAAGTGAAGCAATATGCATTTGGTTAAGATCACAAAACACACACTATTGTACCTATAAATTATTGATCCAATAATAGAACACAAAGCAATGCAAAACAAAGGCATAGAAACTATTAGGTTAAATTTTGGAGAGAAGGGCATATTATGAGGTTGGAGGGACAATAGTTAAACAATTCAGTTTCAGAATTGTTACGATTTGGGTTAGTTTGTTTGTACTCTTGGAAGATACTCCTCAGGTTTTCTGCTCCACTGTAGTGATACCATAGGAAATTGCTTAATTTCTGATGAATAAAACATACATACAGGAAAAAGTAGCTGGAAGGACACAATAGTAACTGACATACTCACTGAATTAACCGCAATGCTACAACACTTGGAGAAACTGCATAAAACATTACAACACTTACCTTTGTGGGGAATTCTTCATAGTTTCACACGCATTAATTTGTAACCTAGACTACTGCTGGACTAGTCGACATGGTACTGTAGTTCACAACTTGCAGTAATCAATTACTAAAACCTAGTATTAATATGTAATATATACTATAAAAAGATCATTAGAGCGTCAATTTGTCCTGCAGATTAGGCCAGTAAGCATATTTCCATTTTGGATCCTTGCTCCTAGTTGGCTTCTTGCAGGATCCTTCGATGGATCATATTGCTCATTGGCCTGAGCTGCTGCTGCTGAATACAATACTTCAGATATTTCCGGCATAGACATTGCACTTCAGACCTAAGGATCTTGAAACTGAAGCAAACAAAACGAAATAAGGAAGAGGGCAGGGGGTAAAAATCAAATCAAAGAAGGGAAGAAGAGAAGGGAGAAATTACTTTGCTAGTATGCTTGCTTGCTTACTGCAACCTGAGGGACGAGCGGATCCAGTAGCCAGAAGGCAGCAGAGGGAGACCGTAGGGCAGATCTAGGGAGAGCAGAAGCAATGGAGGGAAAGGGCCAGAGCAGAGGAGTGCAGATCCATGAAGAGCATAAGCAATGGAGGGAAAGGGGGAGGATGGCTGGCTCACTTATCCCCTCCCAATCCCTAAAAAATAAAAATAAAAATGAGTCGAAAGACTCAAGGTGCACGACTAGTCTACGACTAGTCCTTCGACTCCTTTGACTCGGCGAACTAGTCTACACGAGATTTCTAGTCGACACCCAGAATGCGACTCATAGACTAGTCTAGCGACTAGTCTCGACTAGTCCCTCGACTCGTAATCAATGGAATGGATGCAAGCCAAGATGACATTGTGCTAGCTTATTCTTTCTGAAACTCTTCCTAATACTGTTGGCCTCAACATCACACAAGCCAGCTAACCAAGTTTTGCACTTATGCGGAAGGGAAAACCATAGTACATCTTACAGGCAACAACATCAGCACAGCTACAATAACAAAGTAACACATCTACATATAATCTGTTTCCAATCCCTCACTGCCCCAGATCCATAAACAAAATTGAAGGGTGAATGTGAGGCTAATTAAATACTGAGCCCCTACTTTGGTTACCATCGACTGTAGGTAGAGACAGGTTAGGCACGTTTGTGACAGCACCTTCAGGAGGCCAACGGCACCGTGGGACGTTGAGGACGGGCATGGCAGAGAGAAGAGGCTCCAATTGGGGTTAACAGGAGCCAAGCCTCCATCCTCACGTGCAGGTGGGCGGATCTGCATGTGCTGGAGAGGCTTGACGCCGACGGGGGGCGCGGGACTCGTCGCGCATGGAGGTGGCCCAAGATGGGCGCGCCTAGGCTGCAGGGTAGCGGTGGGGTCCATATGTGTGTGTTGGTCCTCTCGTCTTTTTCTGGCGGAGATGGTGGTCGATCATTTTATTTTCGTTCGCATAGGGAGGGTCAGTGGTTTACGGCTGGAAACGGCGAGATGGCTGGTATTCGTCGGTTATGTACTTGTTGTCGCTGGTTATGGAACACACTGAGGGGACGACATGGCATGCTTGCTGATGCTGGTAACGGAACGCACTGAGGTGATGACGTGGCATGCTTGCTGATGTGGACGGGCTTCATGTGAAGAGAAATAAGATAGTGGGGATGAACTATTTAGGTATTATAAATTTGGTCCATTTCTCTCTCTCTCTCTCGCTGTGTGTGTGCACGCCAGTGCCACACACTAATCGATTGGAGAACTGCACTGTGCTTGTCGTTCTATCCAGTCTAAGTTAAAACTTGTTGTAATAGTTGTCTCTATGGGAGAAAATGCTTGCCTACTTAGAAATCCTCTTACCAAAAAAATTGACGTGGACAGTTATAAAATAATGAGCAGAATACTTCCCGTTCTGGCTACAGCTGTAAATCACACAGTTTAACGAACAACAGTCACTTAGTAGTGGAACAATAGTGTGCATTTGTGTATGTCCATCATTCATTCAATCAACAGTGCGCATGTGTGCTTCAGCCCTTTTATCTTCTGTATGCATGTACAATTTTGTCCTGACGTTTCATCTTCGGTTATGGTGGCAAAGCATAAACCTGGACTGTGTGGTTTGTTTACCTTGTGGCGCAGGTGAAGGAGTTTGTGAAAGCCTACAACGCCCTCCACGAGATGGGGTTCACCTCGCGTAACGTCCCCGAGCTGCTGGCGATGCACGACAACGACCCCGACAAGGTTATCCAGCACCTGCTCAGCACGACATAACATTGCCCGTGATTCTCGTCTCCGCATATGTACAGTGAGACAGGTCCCGCCTCTAATCTAGCCAACATTATGCCTAGACTGTACTAGCTGTAACTTGTAATGGAGTCTGGAGCGGTTCAGTGTGTCTGTCAGCTGCGGGTGTGGCGCATCAGCCCGACGGCCAAGATTGGCGTGTCACAGTCTTTCTACACAGTACGTTATTTCAGTTATGTGTGTATGCGTTGCGGTGAAGATCTCGTCTGGAACTTCTTGTCTGCGTGTAGTTTGTCATCGGCTGCCCACCGTGCAGCTCCAACGAAATGTTAGGACCCAGGGCTACATGTGTCATGTATGTATGTGTCCATTTAGCTTGTTCGTGCAGCGACGCGCTTCCAAAGCAGAACTGCACCATCGAATCGCCTTTGGCCTAACCATATGCCCAGCACGGGCCAAGCGAGAGACAAGCAAATAGTATCTGCGGAGAACTGGAGATATATAACATACAGCTTATGTGGTGATATATATCTACAGTGACGAAATGCAGATTGAACTCGATCAGTACGGCCTCCAGCCCCAGCACCGCTGTATAAGCATGGCAAGCTTGGCCACGCTTCCTTCGGTTATCAGCCAGATCTCACAGACGATACAGGTAATTTTCTGCAGTAGCAAGGTTATCAGCCAGATCTCACAGACGATACAGGTTATCAGCCCAGATCTGTACTGTGGCACCAGCAAGGTTGTGAAGGGCAACATCGCAAGTGCGACGGCCTGTGGAGACCCGCAGAACTACGTGAGCTGGGATGGAATTCATGCCACCGAAGCTGCAAACAATATCATAGCGTCTGCGGTGATGAGTGGCGCCTACTCATATCCACCTTCCGGTCTTTCAAAACTTTGCCAGCCATGACCCCATAGCCTGATCACAGCATAAGTTTACTCAGAGATACTGCTTGCTCAAACCAAGTTATCCCGCTGTCAGATAACAGCGCAAGTTCAGTCAGACACCAAATTACTCATTCTGTCAGTTAAAAGATGTGTAGAATGATACAGAAAATAAGAGCGTCATAGTAAGTGTGTCCTGTTATAGACTTGTTTCTGCTATAATGCACCACTACTTGTAGTACTGAAAGATTAGACAAAAAAATTGTAGTCTCTACTGTAGTTATCAACTGCAGATTTCTGACGCACAAGAATCATCTTGAAGACATGAACAATCACAACCATAAAAACTCCAGCACAAGAATCATCCCCAGCATGATATCATTCACCAAACATAACATCAAGCACAGAACTTAATTAATAAGATCTGAGAAATGGAGATAAAGTAGACCACATCCATTGCAAGTTTCGAACTAGCAGACGACACATAATTCAGAATCACGTCAGATGTAGCCGCTTCACCTTCAGATAGTCCACATCAACCAACCCAACCATAATTCAGAATCACATCAAACAAATGTGCCACTATATATTGTTAACCTGTTAGATTAAATGGATAGTACTGAAAGGATCAAAGAAAAATATTGCAGTCTCTACTGTAATTGTCAACTATGATATCTAATCCACAAGATGAACAATCACAGCCAGAAAAATTCCAGCACAAGAATCATTCACAGGATGATGTCATTCGCCAAACATAGCATCCAAGCACATGACTTGTTAACAAGATCTGAGAAATGGAGATAAAGTAGACCGACCACATCCATTGCAAATTTCCAACTAGCAGACAGACGCATAATTCAGAATCACATCACACATCGCCACCTCGCTCAGCTAATCCACATCAACCAACCCAACCATAGTTCGGAATCACATCAAACAGAGCCGAAAGCCCAAATGAATTCACCAAATCCCTGTACAAGTGTGCGCAAAAGGTGCAAGAAAACTGAATCACACAGCAACGAATGAAGAATAACAGAGCACCCCAGCAAAATCACCAAACCCATGGGACAATAATCATTCCCAGGATGAAATCATTGGCCAAACATAGCATCCAATCACAGAACTTGATTAACAAGATCTAGGAAATGCAGATGAAATAGATCACATTCTTTGCAAATTTGAACTAACAAACACATATTTTAGAATCACATAACATGTAGCCACTTCACCTTCAGCTAGTCCACATCAACCAACCCAACTATAATTCAGAATCATATCGAACAGAGCAGAAGGCATAATTAGATTCACCAAATCCCTGTAGAAACGTGCAAAAAAAAACCTGAATCGCACAGCAACCAAACAAAAATAACAGACCACGCCAGCAAAATCACAACACCCATGGGACACCGCATCATGCATCCAACACTGCAACAGGGCTACATGCGGCAAGAACACCATTGCAGAATCACAGAGGAATAAAGTGGCAAACAGCAGAACTAGAGGGCAGATTTACCATCACATTATAACTGAACTTCTCATTGCCATTTCATTCGAGCATCACGAATCACAGGACCAAACGATACGATCATATCAACACCAACAAACACAACCGACACACATCCAGATCACGAGACAGGAACAGCTACTACCCAGCAGTATTACCGGCGACCCAGACCTAGGCGCGCTCCCCGCGGATGCGGCGTGCGAGCTGGATGTCCTTGGGCATGATGGTGACGCGCTTGGCGTGGATGGCGCACAGGTTGGTGTCCTCGAACATCCCCACCAGGTACGCCTCGGCGGCCTCCTGCAGGGCGGAGACGGCGGATGACTGGAACCGCAGGTCGGTCTTGAAGTCCTGCGCGATTTCCCGCACCAGGCGCTGGAAGGGGAGCTTGCGGATGAGCAGCTCCGTGCTCTTCTGGTACTTGCGGATCTCCCGGAGCGCGACGGTGCCGGGGCGGAAACGGTGGGGCTTCTTGACGCCGCCGGTGGCCGGCGCGGACTTGCGGGCCGCCTTGGTGGCCAGCTGCTTCCTCGGCGCCTTGCCGCCGGTGGACTTGCGCGCCGTCTGCTTCGTGCGGGCCATCGGCGCGGGTGGTGGTGGTGTCTTCTTGGGAGATCGGGTGCGGCGGCGCTGTGATTTGTGAGGATTTGGGGGAGAGGAGGAGGGGTTAAGTAGGGGTGGGGAATTTTTGGAGGATGGCGCGCGGCTGGAGCATTTCGAGCGGAAATTCCCGGTTTTGGACGGATTCTTTGGCGCCACGGGCGAGGAGCGCGCGGGGTCGGATGAGCCGTTGGATCAGCCGGAATGGACGTTGCAGATGTGTTTGTGCGGGTTGGCCACGGATCACGATCCGTTGAGTAGCATCTCTCACTTGTGTGTGCTACACGAACGGTTCAAACTGGTGGAAAAACTTGTTCGGTTTTTCTTTTTTTCGAAGTCGACCCGTTACAACATGATTCATTCAAAAAGGTAGAATGAAGTTGTCAGATTAATATATGGAAAACCTGACGAAATAATTAAAACACGCCCACATGATAGGGCCCTAGCCGAAGTGGCAACTGCAAGACCCACACACACCATCGACGAGAGAAACAACGTCGAAGATGCCTACGAGCTGTCATCGTCGTCACTCTCCTTGAGCAAGCGACTCTAACTTCACTGAGGACGACCGACCAAGAGCCTCTGGGACGAACAATGCACTAGAACACATGTCGTCCTATGCCAAACAATCGGTCAACTGCGTCAAGGACTAGGCAGCTCTGACGATAACAAGTTTTGTAGGAGAAAGAAGCACGTCTTGCAAAACACAGGATATCATGACCATTACACGGCATCATTGCCACCGCGTCACCCCGCCACTATACAGCTCTGACTTTACACGTAAAGACAAGTCGATCGGTCGATGACAAAGGACATGCCACTATCCCACTCCTCTTGTTACCATCATTGTTGCACAAGTCGCAACACCAACCAACCACACCGCACGATCAGGCACGTCCGGCACCAAGGAAGTGCATGTGGATCAAGAACTTCAAGACGACGCCCCAAATGAGGAAATGACGTTGGAGACACCTCCATCGCATGCCCCCGTGCGGGATCGTGAGTTTCTCCAAAGAGCTTGATTCGGGGGGTTGACGATACATGAACTCCTCGATGACGCATCCGAGGAGGATAGAGACGCCCATGGGCACTATCTTCGCCGTGCAGTAGTCATCAGCCAAGCTTTCACCGAAGTAGCGCAATACCACCACCTCGCAAAATGGCCAATGTCGACAGACATCTCCACTAGCCCACACACAACCTACACAACGACCACGCCATCACCACACAAGGTCATCATCTCCCATCTCGCCACGAACCGAAACCGACCCAGGCTGGCCGGAGCAGGCGCCCGCTTGAAAGTACAATCATGCACTTGATATAATTTTGGTATGTGATGACACACACTTTGTTTGGACTAATACATTTTGCGAGTGATGACCCACAAGTATAGGGGATCTATCGTAGTCCTTTCAATAAGTAAGAGTGTCGAACCCAACGAGGAGCAGAAGGAAATGATAAGCGGTTTCCAGCAAGGTATTCTCTGCAAGTATTGAAATAAGTGGCAACAGATAGTTTTGTGATAGGATAATTTGTAACGAGCAACAAGTAACAAAAGTAAATAAAGTGCAGCAAGGTGGCCCAATCCTTTTTGTAGCAAAGGACAAGCCTGGACAAACTCTTATATAGAGAAAAGCGCTCCTGAGGACACATGAGAATATCATCAAGCTAGTTTTCATCACGCTCATATGATTCGCGTTCGGTACTTTGATAATTTGGTACGTTGGTGGACCGGTGCTTGGGTGTTGTCCTTACTTGGACAAGTATCCCACTTATGATTAACCTCTATTGCAAGCATCCGCAAATACAACAAAAGTATTAAGGTAAACCTAACCATAGCATGAAACATATGGATCCAACTCGGTCCCTTACGAAGCAACGCATAAATTAGGGTTTAAGCTTCTGTCACTCTAGCAACCCATCATCTACTTATTACTTCTCAATGCCTTCCTCTAGAGGAGAGACAACATACATCTCATCAAAATATCGAACGAATACCAAATTCACATGACTACTAATAGCAAGACTTCTCCCATGTCCTCAGAAACAAACGTAACTACTCACAAAGCATAAACATGTTCATAATCAGAGGGGTATTAATATGCATATAGGATCTGAACATATGATCTTCCACCAAAGAAACCAACTAGCATCAACTACAAGGAGTAATTAACACTACTAGCAACCCACTAGCACCAATCCCGGACTTGGAGACAAGAATTGGATACAAGAGATGAACTAGGGTTTTGAGAGGAGATGGTGTTGATGAAGATGTTGATGGAGATTGTCCTCTCCCGATGAGAGGAGCGTTGGTGATGACGATGGCGATGATTTCCTCCTCCAAGAGGGAAGTTTCCACGGCAGAACAGCTCCGCCAGAGCCCTAGATTGGTTCTGCCAAGGTTCCGCCTCGTGGCGGCGAAGTTTTGTCTGAGAAGATGGCTTGGTATTTTTTTCCCATCGAAAGACTTCATATAGCAGAAGATGGCCACCGGAGGGCCACCATGGGGCCCATGAGGTAGGGGGCGCGTCCAGGGGGGTAGGGCGCGCCCCCCACCCTTGTGGGCAGGGTGTGGCCCCCTTGGTGAATTTCTTCCGCTGAGTATTTTATATATATTCTGAAAACGTCTTCCGTGAAGTTTCAGGACTTTTGGAGCTGTGCAGAATAGGTCTCTAATATTTGCTCCTTTTCCAACCCAGAATCCCAGCTGCCAGCATTCTCCCTCTTTATGTAAACCGTGTAAAATAAGAGAGAATAGACATAAGTATTGTGACATAATATGTAATAACAGCCCATAATGCAATAAATATCGATATAAAAGCATGACGCAAGATGGACGTATCAGCGAGTGTATCTCAGGTATTAATGCCATGCATGGTGCATGGTTGATGGATGATCGTCGACCTCACAAAAATACAAGAATTAAGATATGATCCTCGGCGACTTAGGGTAGTCTTTTATGATTATTGATTTGAGTTGATAGGAATTCCACACTATTAAGATGGGAATATACCAAGGTGAAGAGTCCGGCCCATTTTTCACATCATTTACCTCATACATGATCACCTAAGACATAGCATGCTAGAGATATGCCTTGAAGGAAATAATGAATGTATTATTATATTCTCATGTTCATAATTAATTTTATTTTTATGCTATAATTGTATTGGTTATTGCATATGGGATTCAGAGGAAAAGCCCATTACATGTGCGGAAACATAAACACAAATATGAAAATAACTCTCTACACATGGTGACAGATGCACACAACCCCAAATTTCATCTCTAACTATTTTGGTAAATTACTTTGGACCATGAATAAAAAGGTATATAACAAAAATAAAGCTTTTTTCATGACGTATGATCATCCAAGCAAGCAAAAAGACAGAGGGAATCAAGAAAAAGTCTTTTATATACAAAAAAGGCATTTGTGCCAAAAGACAAGCAAAAAGGCAAAGAGAAGTGAGAAAAAGACACTTCTATACAATGGAAGTTGTGCTAGTGCCATGAAAAACCTAACACCCCATATATCAAAAAGGCACTTATGTGAAAGGGTGTGTAGCTGCCACTATGTGTGCGTAGTTGCCATCATGCATAGGAAAATCAGTCTCTCAATGCCAATATGATCCCTAGTCATGCCTCTAAAACTTGCTCATGTATTCATGATCATATTGTTTTCCTGAGTATGAGCATTGTTATACTAACAATGTTGTTATCAATAATGAGACAACACTGTTATCAGAAAAAATAGTGTTGGATATACTCGACTTATGAATTGCTGAGAGTCGTTATTATGTTGTCGGTATTTTCATATAAAGTGTCATCGCTTACTTAGTTCCTTAGACCATGAGAATATCATTTACCAACATACCGGATGGTTACTTCGGGGTTATCGAATGTCACTCCATAACTGGATGTGAATAAAAGTGACTTGCGGTTATACCAAAAAAGTATGTCTCGATATCGATAGTTTGAGAGTGGGATTTGCTCCTCTGACGATGGAGAGATACTCTCTGGGAAACTCGGTGTTATGATATCATTATCGTATGGCCAGACATATGTGATGAAGATCACAGGGATACCAGAATATGGATACAAGCAAAGAGAACAAAACTGGTAACGAGGATAACCAGTATAGTGATCAGGAGTTGATCACGAGGATATCGATAATATCTTGCATCAAAATTTCTAAATGTACCGCGCAACAAAGGAAATGGTATTCGGGAACAAAAGGTTTGCTTGAGAATTTCATGAATATACAGGAGTTAACAAGGGTGTCCATATCCCATTCTTAACTATTGACCAAAAAGGGTCCCGGGTCATTTCTGCTTATTTCCGAACCTGTAGGGTCACATGCTCAATGACTAATAGCTATGATAACCATAGGAACGAGAGAATGAGCATAGGAAATGTTTTGGATGGATCGAAAAGTGTTCCGGATTGTAACGCCCCGAGACCGATGTGCTAGGTGTCCTCCAGTTATTCGCTGTTGTTGCCTTGTCATTGCTTGCGTCTCATGCATTGCATATCATGTCATCATGTGCTTTTCATTTGCATACATGTTCGTCTCTTGCATCCGAGCAAACTTGTAACGCCCTCGATGCGGCTATATCTCCCACGTGTCGAAGCACGACTTAGAGGCATAACCGCATTGAAAGCAATGTCGCAAGTGAGGTAATCTTCACACAACCCATGTAATACATAAGGGAAAGACATACATAGTTAGCTTACAATCGCCACTTCACACAATTACATGAATAAAGCATTACATCAACCAGCTACAATCAAGGCCCGACTACGGAGCCAAAATAAAAGAAGACTACCCCAAATGCTACACAAATCCCTGATCGTCCCGACTGGGCTCCACTACTGATCAACTAGAACGAAACAACACAAAGGACAAGATCTTCATCGAGCTCCTCCTGAGCTTGGTTGCGTCATCTGCACGGACTCATCGGCACCTGCAAGCTGCTTTGGAAGTA